TAGCAGTAGTTTCTCTAATGTCCTCCATGCCTTTTTCAAGCCCAGCGATTAATTTTGTGACTATTGTTCTAAATTCTTGTTCAGTTATGTTGCTTATATCTGTTTTGAGCAGTTCTTTAGCTGACATTTCTTCCTGGAATTTCTTTGGAGGAGAGTTCTTCCGTTTCATCATTTTGGTTAGCTTTCTATATCTTGTTAATTTTAAAAGCTTGTTACGCACTCTGTACCTGCAAGTACTGCTGTATTAAAGAAGGCTCTTTGACTGTCCAGGGCCTGTCCTTTCAGGAAGTGTTCTTTGAATGGTGTCTCTTAGTTTCTCTTGTTGAGACTTTGGTTATTTAACTTCCCTACTTGTAGTTATATTTTGGACTCTCCACCATGTGTACTTTGGCTTGTTACTTGAGGTAGCCCTGGAAAAAAAACCCGACAGACAACCACACAGGGAACAAAGGTAAACAAATGCACAGACAAATCCAACAAACATGTAAACCGAAAGGGAAAAAGAAAAAGAAAAAAAGGAAGGGACCAAAAAAAATAAATAAATAAATAAAACAAAACAAAAAAGAAAAAAAAAGAGGAAAGAGGGAAGACAATTAAAAATAAAAATTAATAAAAAATTTAAAAAGAAGAAAAAACCCAAAAGACAAAGGACAGTCTAAATGCATAAAACCAGAATTCCCAGCTACAAATAAAGAGCCAGGTGTATGCAGTGCTGATGGAAGAGCATTTACAAAGAGAAATGACAGGGCAGAGAGGAAGCGAAATTGGAAATGAAATGACCAGCCAGAGAGACTAAGATTGATTCAGCTTGATTCAGAGGGAGAAATCATAGAATATGTTTAGAGGCAAGGAGAAAGAAACGAAGATGTTACTGAGAGAAACTATATAGTCTGATTACTCCCGAGAGAGAGAGAGAAAAAGGTAGTGGTGGAGGTGTAGAATGTACATCTAGAGAATGGATTAAATGTTACTGTTTAAGCAAACCAGTGACCAGAGTGCCCCGACCAGCAGAGTGGAGGGTTGCGAATGAGAAGAGGGGGAATATATCTGAATAGAAAGAATTATCTAGAATTAATCATGGCAGCGCATCCATGTTGGTCTTGCCCCGGGCCTAGGTAAAAAAAATAAATAAATAAAATAAAGCAGCTCTCTAGTGGGGATCAGCATGGTTTGGTGTAGGCAGGTCTTTCCCTGAGGCCCCGCCTTGGTGGTTATGGGGAGAAAAATGGTGTTGCCCCAGTCCCTTCTCGAACCATTGCAAATCACTCCTTTGCATCCGATCACCCTGTGCTGTTGGTGTAGCCAAGGTGGGCTGTGTTCCATGCCCCACTTTCCACCTCATTTCCGGGTCCCAGTCCACGCGCTTTATTGATACCACCCGAAACACAGTCCAGCAGGTTGCTGCCTCCCTGCTTAGAGGGTGGGGAGGAGAGTGGCACAGCCTCAGATGCGCCTGGGTCAAGCTGCGGCACAGCCTGTGATCCACCACTGCAGCGCTGCCAGGGGTCAAGCCTGGGGAACGCAGCCTCATGCCCACAGCGACCACTGGGGATGGTGCCAGGAGCGAAGCAGAGCAATTTTTCCTGGCACCCTCTGGCACCGGGGGGCACCTAGTTCAAAGTCAGCACCCCAGCTAGAACTAAAAACACTCTCCTTCCGAGCCGAGGTTTTTCTCTTCTCCAGGGACAGTTCTTTGAACAGTTTTAGCTGCTCTTTCTTTTCCCCCTAGACTCACCTCAGCTGCCCATGAGCCACGCTCCCTCCCCTCCCTCCATGTCTCCAGTTCCGCTGGCTTTTATCTTCCCCAGTTTGCACTCACACTCTTACAAGGTTGCCTTCCCAGTGTACTCTGTCTCTCTCCTCCCAAACTCCTGTGGCTCAATGTCCTTTGACTTCAGGCCTTCTCTGTTTGAGAGATGGGTGCAAGCGAAATGCATGGAGTTCCCTACTTCTCTGCCATCTTGCCTCAGTCCTAATGGTATATTTTTTTAAAAATTTCTTTTTCAGTTTGTTGCTGATACATAGAAAATATTACTGATTTTTGGGTAATGACCTTGTACCCAATAAATTATGATTGAATATTCTCATGAGTTTTCTACATATATATCTCTAAATAGTGATAGTTTTCTTTCTTTTCAATAATTATACCTTTTATTTCTTCATCTTGCCTTACTGCATCAGTTAGAATTTCCAGTATAATATTGTATAAATGTGATGATAGTGAGCATCCTTACCTCATTTCTTTTTTTTTTTTTTTCTTTTAGAGAGAGGGAGAGCACAAGCGGGGTTGGGCAGAGGGACAGGAAGGGAGAGAATCCTAAGCAGGCTCCACGTTCGGTGCCAAGCCTAACGGGGGGCTCAATCTTATGACCATGAAATCATGAATTCACCCAAAACCAAGAGTCAGATACTTACCTGATGGAGCCACCTCGGAGTCCCTACCTCATTTCTTTTTTTTTTTTAATTAAAAAAATTCTTTAATGTTTATTTATTTTTGAGAGAGACAGAGCATGAGTTGGGGAGCAGGGGAGAGAGAGACGGGACACAGAATCTGAAGCAGTCTCCAGGCTCTGAGCTGTCGGCACAGAGCCTGACGCAGGCTCAGACTCACAGACTGTGAGATCATGACCTGAGCTAAGCTCAACCACTCAACCTGTTGAGCCACCCAGGAAACCCAGCTTACCTCATTTCTAATCACAAAGAGAAGCATTTCCGTATTTCACCATTAAGTATCGTTAAGTATTACTTTATTGAAATTTAATGTATATAATCTTTATCAAATTAAAGGAGTTCCCTTCTATTCCTATTTTGCTAAGAGTTTTGTCTTATTTCTTTCACCAGTGTTTTCTAGTGCTTCAAGTATGAGCTTTGTACTTCTTTTGTTAAATTTATTCCTAGGCGATTTATTCTATTTGGTGGTCGTCCAAGTGAAATTTTTCTTAATATTATTTTTCAATTGCTTATTGCCATTACTTTTTTTTTAATATTTTTATTTATTTCTAGGAGAGAGAGAGACAGCATGAGCAGGGGAAGGTCAGAGAGAGGGGGAGTCACAGACTGAAACAGGCTCCAGGCTCTGAGCTGGCAGTCAGCACAGAGCCCTATGCGGGGCTCGAACCCACGAACCGCGAGATCATGACCTAAGCAAAAGTCGGATGCTTAACCGACTAAGCCACCCAGGCGCCCCTTATTGCCATTACTTTTAAGTTTGTTGAGATTTGGCTTTATAATCCAGTACATGGTCATTTTTTAAAAATATTCACATATTTTTCACATAAAAATAAAAATTCACATAAAAAATTTCACATAAAAATATGTGAAAAAATATGCAATTTTTGAAAAATCTGAAATTATTGAGTTATAGTGTTGCCTATATCTCCATTAAATCAAGTTTTTAAAATTTCTTGTTCAAATATCCTAAAGTCTTAATAATTTAATATCTTAAGATCTGCTTATTCTATTAACTACTGACAAAGATGTATCAAATCTCCCCCTGGGGTGCCTGGTGGCTCAGTCAGTTAAGCATCTGACTCTTGATTTCAGATCAGGTCATGACTCACAGTTTGTGACTTTAAGTCCCACGTCTGGCTCTGTGCAAACAATGTGGAGCTTGGTTAAGATTCTCTCTCCCTCTCTCTTCCCCTGACCCTTGCTCACATGTTTTCTATCTCAAAATAAAAAAATGAACTTTAAAAAATACCTCATTGTAATTTTGGATTTTTCTATTTCTCATTATAATTTTATAGTTTTCTTTAAGTAAAATACATACTTACTTTTGACCTCTCTGAATCTTTAGATTTCAGATATTTTAAATTCTTAAATTTTAGAGGCTTAGATCACTTCCTTGATGAATTTTACCTAGCATATAAGTAAGAAATAATGTCCGCATTACTCAACTCTTCAAAAAACATAAAAACAAGAAACACTTCCCAGTTTCATTTACAGAACTATCATAATCTTGATACCAAAATTTGATGAAGACAATACAAAAAGACCACAAGCTAATCTCTGTATAAACAAATAAGGCAAAAATCCTAACCAATTATCATGCAAAATCTTAACCAATTAGCAATCTGAAAATCATTTACATTTTTGCAATATTAATGAAATTACTGACATATTTGTGTTTAAATCTACTTTAGTGAATTCCTGTTTTTGTACCACGTGTTCAACATTCTGTTTTCTTCCATTCTTGCCTTCCTTTTGGACTAATTATTTTTTATTTTTCTTGTTAATTTGGAAGCCTTAAAGGTTATTGTAGAAATTACAATATGCATCTTTAATTTATCATAATATAATTTTATACTGGACATTTATCCTCATTCAAGGTGATACTGTTTTTGTTTTATACATTGTGTTCTTAAAATTGCTTCTATATCATCATTTCATTTCTTCTTATCCTTCCCTGTAGTCCCGTATTGAAAGGGAATACTGAGAGTTAAGTCAGATAAAAAAAATTTTAGGGGGGCACCTGGGTGCCTCAGTTGGTTGAGTGTCTGATTCTTGATCTCAGCTCAGGTCATGATCTCAGAGTTTGTGAGATTGAAACCTCTGTCAGGCTCTGTGCTGCCTGTGGAGAGCCTGCTTGGGATTCTCTCTCTCCCCCTCTCTGTGCCCCTCTCCCACTCTCTCTCAAAATAAACTTTTAAAAAATTTTAATAAAAAAATTTTTTTACATTTTCAGCGTATGCCTGTCATGTAAAATTTTCTCAGGAACCAAGAGAAATTTATAAATAGCTAACAGGAGCAAAAAAAGACTACAAACAAAATAAAATTATCTGAATACAAGATAAAATACTTGGATGCATGAAATGAAGCAGAGGAAAACACTTTTAAAAACTTAGTCTTTTATCTAAGTAAATATGATGAAAATGTAATATAGTAGTATAGAACAAAATTCAAGATGATATCAACATTCTAGTTGGGGGACAGTTGTCATAGGTAGAGAAAGCAGAAGGAACAGTCTCAGTGTTGGTCTGTGACTGCTTTTTATTTTACAGGTAATGGGAAGGTTGATCTGAAAAATGTGACAATGGAAATGAAAGATTTTACAGGTGAGTCGCTATAACACTGAAACCCTAATGTTTTATAATAAATTATATTTACAATTTTACATTCCCAGTAGTCTGTTGTTCATATTAATTTTGCCATTTTACCCAGTTATTATAAAATATAAATATTTCTGCCAAATAAAATCCATTTGATCTTATATTATCTGTTTTTAAAATGAACTCTAAGACATGCTTTTGATAACACGTCTTATATACTGTAGAGATTTTTTTCTTGTATATGTATATATGTCTTCACCTACATGTAAATAGCTAAATTTTAGGTAAACACATGAATATTTGGAAAGCTGAAGATAATGTGGATTTTGTCAACAATCAATTACAGTATAAGTATTAGGTCAGTATAAGATCTCCTGCTATAATTATTTCTTTTGGCAATTCATTATCCAATTTGGTAACTAGATTTTATTCTGTACATTATCCTGAAAATTAAGAGAGCCTTTATTAATCAATAATTTAGGAACAAGTTTGCTTTGAGTTCTAATAACACACTGTATTTCCACATCCCTTTTTACCTTCACTCTTTAATCTCCAGTTGGGAATGATGCCATATAAGGTATTTTAAGTGTATCTAAAAATATGTATCACATAGGTCAATAACATGTACTTGTTAACCTCTTGAACTTTCATAATACTGAGTTATTCATTTCTATAATTTTCACCTGTAAACACTCCGTATTTTCAAAGGAGAAAAGATTGATGTCAGAGATCTGAAAAACATTCTTGGAGTCATGGGGATAGAAGTCAATGATAAGGAATGTCTGGAACTACAAAAATTACTACCCACTGATGGTGAGCTGCATTGGTGACCTCCAGAGAGTTCAGTTTAATGGTCCTACGTGTGATATTTATATTTTCAAGTGACCCACGTCCGGGTGTGTGTTACCTGCACCGCTTCTCCAGCTCTTGCTTCCATATGAACAGTCTGTTAATCTGTGCCAAGTCAGGTAGAGTTCCACTGTCAAAAGAATCCTTTTCCACAAAATCAGTGTTGGCAAAGGATGTTACTGATGGTTTTGGAAGGGAGAGGGCAGAGGGAGTTACATCTCATTTCTCTCAGTAAACACTGCAAAAGTCCTCATAAATTCCTCTTCTCTCCGAGTCACTGTTCCTTACTTTGCCCCTGGGGACTCCCTTTTCCTAGTCCTTATCACCCGAACAGCTGAACCCTGAAAACTCCTCCCTCTGTTAAGCTACATTTTTTATTAAGTTTTTATTTTAATTCCAGTGTAGTTAACATACAGTGATATATTAGTTTTAGGTGTACAATATAGTCATTCAGCAATTCCATACATCACTCAGTGCTCAGCACAAGTGTACTCCTTAATGCCCATCACCCATTTCACCCATCACCCCACTCAGTTTCCCTCTGGTAGCCATCAGTTTGTTCTCTATAGTTAAGAGTCTGTTTCTTGGCTCCTCTCTCTCTCCTTTTCTTGTTTGTTTTGGTTCTTAAATTCCACACATGAGTGAAATCATATGGTGTTTGTCTTTCTCTGACGAACTTATTTCGCTTATTTCGCTTATCATTATATACTCTCTGGCTCCATCCATGTCATTGCAAATGGCAAGGTTTTGTTCTTTCTATGGCTGAATAATATTCCGAGGTGTGTGTGTGTGTGTGTGTGTGTGTGTGTGTGTGTGTGTGTTTACCACATTTTCTTTATCCATTCATCTATCTATGGATCCTTGGGCTGCTTCCATAATTTGGCTATTGTAAATAATGCTGCTATAAACATAGGGGTGCATGTATTCCTTTGAGTTAGTGTTTTTGTATTTTTGGAAGTAAATACCCAGTAGTGCAATTCAAAAAGTAGTTCTGTTTTTAGCTTTTTTTGAGGAACCTTCGTACTGTTTTTCCACATTGGCTATACCAGTTTGCATTCCCACCAACCACCAATACCAGTTTGAGTTCCTATTTCTCCACATCCTCACCAAAAGTTATTGTGTTTTTTATTTTAGCCCATTCTGACAGGTGTGAGATGATATCACATTGCTATTTTGATTTGCATTTCCCTGATGATGAGTAATGTTGAGCATCTTTTCATGTGTCTGTTGGCCATCTGTATGTCTTCTTTGGAGAAATGTCTGCACATGCCTTCTGCACATTTTTAAATGAGATTATTTGGTTTTTGAGTGTTGAGTTGTATCAGTTCTTTATATATTTTCAGTACTAACCCTTTATCGGATATGTCACTTGCACATATCTTCTCCCATTTAGTAGATTGACTTTAGTTTTGTTGATTGGTTCCTTCACTGTGCAGAAGCTTTGTATTTTGGTGAAGTCCCAGTAGTTTATTTTTACTTTTGTTTCCCTTGCCTCTGGTGACATATCTAGAAAAATGTTGGTATGGCTGATATCAGAGAAATTACTGCTGTGCTCTCATAAAGGACTTTTATTGTTCTAGGTCTCACATTTAGGTCTTTAATCTATTTTGAATATATTTTTGTGTATGGTATAAGAAAGTGGTCCAGTTTCATTCTTTTGCATGTGGTTGTCTAATTTTCCCAGCACCATTTATTGAAGAGACAATCTTCTTCCCATTGGATATTCTTGTCTCCTTTGACAAAGATTAATTGACCATATAATTGTGAGTGTATTTCTGGGTTTTCTATTCTGTTCCATTGATCTATGTGTCTTTTTGTGTCAGTACCATACTGTTTTGGTTACCACTGCTTTGTAATATAACTTGAAGTCTGGAATTGTGATACCTCCAGCTTTGCTTTTCTTTTTCAAAATTGCTTTGGCTATTTGGGGTCTTTTGTGGTTCCATATAAATTTTAGAATTTTTTCTTTTAATTACTTAAAGTTTTTTAAATTTTTTTTTTTTTGAGAGAAAGAGGCAGAGCATGAGTGGGACAGGGGCAAAGAGACAGGGAGACACAGAATCAGAAGCAGGCTCCAGGCTCTGAGCTCTTACCACAGAGCCTGACATGGGGATCGAAGTCACGAGTGGTGAGACCATGATCTGAGCTGAAGTCAGACACCCAACCGACTGAGCCACCCAAATGCCCCTAGGATATTTTTCTAGTTAAAAAATGCTGCTGATATTTTGATAAGGATTAAAATAATATACAATTTGCTTTGAGTAGCATAAACATTTTAAGAATATTTGTTCTCTAAATCCATGAGCATGGAATATCTTTTCATTCATTTGTGTTTTTTTCAATTTCTTTCATCAGTGTTTTACAGTTTTCAGAGTACAGGTCTTTCACCTCTTTGATTAGGTTTATTCCTAGGTATTTTATTTTTGGTGCAGTTATAAATGGGATTCTTTTCTTTTTATTTTAAATAGTTTATTGTCAAGTTGGTCTACATATAACACCCTAAATGGGATTATTTTCTTAGTTTCTCTTTCTACTAATTCATTACTAGTGTATACAAATGCAATAATAGATTTCTACATACTGATTTTGTATCCTGTGACTTTATTGAATTCATTTATCAGTTCTAGTAGTTTTTGGTGAAGTCTTTAGGGTTTTCTTTTTTTTAATAATATGTTTTATTTAATCTGTAGCAGTTTCCACTCCTTTTTTCTTGCCATTTATTTATTAAATAAACTGGGTCATCTGTCTTCTAATATTTCTTACATTCTAGATTTGGTTGGTTACATCTCAGGGTGTTTCTTAAAATTTTTTAATGTTTTATTTATTTTTGAGAGAGAGAGAGAGAGAGAGAGAGACAGAGTGCAAGTGAGGCAGGGACAGAGAGAGAGGGAGACACAAAATCAAAGCAAGCTCCAGGCTCTGAGCTGTCAGCACAGAGCCTGATGTAGGGCTCAAACCCGTGAACTATGAGATCATGACCTAAGCCAAAGTAGGACCCTCAACTGATGGAGCCACTTCCAGGGTGTTCTTTATTTATTTTTTTAATTTTTTAACATTTATTTACTTTTGAGAGAGAGCATGAGCAGGGGAAGGACAGAGAGAAAAGGAAACACAGAATCCAAAGCAGGTTCCAGGCTCTGAGCTGTCAGCACAGAGCCGACGTGGGGCTCAAACCCATTAACTGTGAGATCATTACCTGAACTGAAGTTGGATGCTCAACCAAATGAGCCACTCAGGTGCTCCTCCAGGATGTTCTTTAAATGTTCCTCTACACATTCCATACACTAAGCAGACCTAAACATTTGATTAGATTTCAGGTTAGCTTTTTTTCCCCTCAGCAAGAATATTTACACCTAGTATTATGTGCTTCCTATTGCATCACATCAGGAAATGCATAAAATGTATCTCTTTCTATGATGTGAAAATCTTCATCTGGGCTCTCATGATACCATTCTGATCTCATCCATCATAATATCCTCTGCCAGCCTTTTACCTAATTAATGGTTTTAGCAGCTATTGATAATCACTACTTAAACCCATTATTTCACTTGGAGTTACAAAATGGTAAATATTCTTCATTCTTTCTGCATTTATTAGCTAACATACTTCTGAAAGAATTATCTCAATAGATTATTTGGATCCTTTTTAAAAATCTGAAATCTGAATCATTTCCATCTTCAACTTAAAAGCAATGACTTAATTATTTGGTTTATATGAAAAGAAGTCAGTGTTCAGTCTACAAATTAAGAAAATATACAACTGTTTGAGTAACAACAAACACCCATATACTGATATTGCAAAGCTCCCATTACAAGAATAATTCTTTTTTAAACATGTTTTTAACACTTATTTATTTTTGAGAGACAGAGAGAGGCAGAGCATGAGCAGGGGAGACGGAGTGAGAGAGGGAGATACAGAATCTGAAGCAGGCTCCAGGCTCTGAGCTGTTTGTTAGCATAGAGCTCAACAGGGGGCTTGAATCACAAACTGCGAGACCATGACCTGAGTGGAAGTCGGATGCTCAACTAACTGAGCCACCCAGGCACCCCTCAAGAATAATTTTTATTCCAGCTCAAAGACGTTTTCAACAAGAAGACTATATGACAGTCTTGTAATTTAGAAGTAACTATATATCAGAATCTCTTGGTTGCCTGGGTGGCTCAGCTGCCTAAGCATCTGATTCTTGATTTTGGCTCAGGTCATGATCTCATGGTCCATGAGTTCAAACCCCACATCAGGCTCTGTACTGATGCAGACCCTGGCCACTCCCCACCCCACCTCCCAAGAAAAAGTTGTTCAAAAGTGTGTCTGGAGATTTTGAACACGTCTGGACATGCATAAAGAAGCATATCTGGAGCTGAGCCATGGTGAGGAGTATGCACAAGACTCATCTACAGAAACGTAGAGGGTAATAGTCAGACAACAGGCACTCTGGTCTCTTAAGACTATACAAAAAGAGGCAGCTCAAAATTAGCTTCCACACTTTGTTTCCAGGGGCCTCCTCAGCAGTGAGAAACCACAAGGCTCCAAGGTTTTCTATATATAGTATCATGTCATCTGCAAATAGTGAGTTTTACTTCTTCCTTACCAGTTTGTATGCTTTTTATTTCTTTTTGTTGTCTAATTGCTGTGGCTAGGACTTCCAGTACTATATTGAATAAAAGTGGTGAGAATGGACATCCTTGTCTTTGTTAGCCATGGATTTTTCATATATGGCCTTTATTATGTTGAGGTATGTTCCCTTTAAAACTATTTTGTTTAGGGGCACCTGGGTGGCTCAGTCAGTTGAGCATCCTACTTTGGTTCAGGTCATGATCTCACAGTTCGTGGGTTCAGGCTCCACGTCGGGCTCTGTGCTGACAGCCAGTTCAGAGCCTGGAGCCTGTTTCGGATTCTATTTCTCCCTCTCTCTCTGACCCTCCCTACTCACGCTGTCTCTCTCTCTCTCTCTCTCTCTCTCTCTCTTTCTCTCAGAAATAAATAAAACATTAAAACATTTTTTTAAATAAAAAATAAACTATTTTGTTGAGGGTTTTTATCATGGATAGATGTTGTACTTTATCAGATGCTTTTTCTGCATCCACTGAGATGAGCATATGGTTTTGTGATCATATCCTTTCTCATATTTATCATATCCTTTCTCTTATTGATGTGATGTATGACCTTGATTGATTTGCGTATGTTGAACCACACTTGCATCCTGGGGAATAAATCCCACTTGATCATGGTGAATGATTTTTTAAATGTATTGTTGGGTTCTGTTTGCTAGTATTTTGTTGAAGATTTTTGCATCTGTTTATCAGAGATATTGGCAGTGATGTCTTTATCCAGTTTTAGGATCAGGGTGATACTCACCTAATAAGATGAATTTGGAATTTTTCTTCTTCTATATTTTGGAATAGTTTGAGTAGAAGAGGTATTAACTATTCTTTAAATTTTGATAAGATTTACCTGTGAAGCCATCTCATCCTTATCTCTTGTTTGTTGGGAGTTTTTTGGTTACTGATTTCATCTGCTGGTAATCAGTCAGTTCAAATTTTCTCTTTCTTCCTGCTTCAGTTTTGGTAGGTTATATGTTTCTAGGAATTGATCTATTTCTTCTTGGTTGTCTAATTTGTTGGCATGTAGTTTTTCCTAATATTCTCTTATAATTGTTTGTATTTATGTGGTGGTGTTTGTTATTTCTCCTCTTTCATTGGTGATTTTGTTTGAGTCCTTTCTCTCTCTCTCTCTCTCTCTCTCTTTGTCTCTGAGTCTGGCTAGTTTATCCATTTTGCTGATCTTTTAAGAGAACAAGATCCTAAAAATCTATAAATAACTTATCAAACTCAACATCCAAAAAACAAATAATCCGGTGTAGAAATGGGCAAAAGACATGAACAGATAATTTTCCAATGAAGACATCCAGATGGCTAACAGACACATGAAAAGATGCTCAACATCACTCATCATCATGGAAATACAAATCAAAACCACAATGAGATACCACCTCACACCTGTCAGGATGGCTAAAATTAACACCCAGGAAACAACAGAAGTTTGTGAAATGCAGAGAAAGGTGAACATTTTTGCATTGTTGGTGGGAATGCAAACTGGTGCAACCACTTTAGTAAACAATGTGGAGTTTCCTCAACAAATTAAAAATAGAACTATCCTGTTATCCAGCAACTGCACTACTAGGTATTTATCCAAAGGATACAAAAATACTGATTCAAAGGGGCACATGCACCCCAATGTTTTTAGCAGCACTGTCAACAATAGCCAAATTATGGAAAGAGCCCAAATGTCCATCGACTAATGAATGGATAAAGAAGATGCAAAATATATATACAATGGAATACTATTTAGCGACCAAAAAGAATGAAATTTTGCCATTTGCAAGAACATGGATGGAAATACAATGTATTATGCTACACAAAATAAGAGAAATATAAACATCATAGGATTTCACTCTTATGTGGAATTTAAGAAACAAAGCATGTGAACATAGAGGAAGGGAAGAAAAAATAAGATAAAAACACAGAGAGGGGCAAATCATAAAAGATTGTTTTTTAAATAAATTTTTTAGTGTTTATTTTTGAGAGTGAGAAAGACAGAATTGAGCAGACGAGGGGAAGAGAGAGAGGGAGACACAGAATCTGAAGCAGACTCCAGGCTCTGAGCTGTAAGCACAGAGCTGGACATGGGGCTTGAACCCAAAGCCGTGAGATCATGACCTGAGCTGAAGTCAAACACTTAACCACCACCCAGGTGCCCCCATAAAAGATTCTTAAATATAGAGAACAAACTGAGAATTTCTGGAGAGGTATTTGGTGGGGGGATAGGCTAAATGGGTGATGGGCATTAAGAAGGGCACTTGTTGGAATGAGGACTGGGTGTAATATGTAAGTGAGGAATCACTAAATTCCACTCCTGTAACCATTATTACATTATATGTTAACTAACTTGGATTTAAATAAAATTTTTTAAAAAATTAAGGGGCACCTGGGTGGTTCAGTTCATAAAGCATTTGACTTCAGCTAAGGTCATGATCTTGCAGCTTGTGAGTTTGAGTCCTGCATCGGGCTCTCTGCTGTCAGATCAGAGTCCACTTCAGAGCTTCTGTTTCCCTCTCCCTCTCCCTCTGCCACACCGCCATTCTCTCTTTCTTTCTTTCTTCCTTTCTTTCTTCCTTTCTCTCTCTCTCTCAAAAACAATCAGCTTAAAATCTTAAAAATAAATAAATTTAAAAATTTTTATATAAGTAAAGAAAGAAAGAACAGCTCCTAGTTTCACTGATTTGTTCTATTGGAGTTTTTCTTTTTCTAGTTTTTATATCATTTATTTCTGCTCTAATCTTTATTATTTCCTTCCTCTCAAAGCTCAGTTCTGAAAGGATGCCAAAATTCTCTCCTCTTTTGTTTATGAATGTTATTTCTCTTTTCTTTTAAGCACAAAAGCTCAACATCTTCCCAAATTGAGCTTTAAAAGGCATCTTATTAACAAAGGCCTATCTACACAAGTAACTCTTATATCATATCCTAGGAAAATAAATTTTTAGACATTATTATACCAGTTTGGAAGTTAGCAAAACTTTCAAGCACAAGCCTTATGGCAGCTGGTACCAGCAGTTGCAGAATGAGAAAGGGTGAAGGGAGCTAGAACAGGCTGCAGGTGAAACTCCTCCAGCATATGGGAGCCTCTCTGCAGAGAATGCAGCATTATTTTACTACAAAGAGGAGTCTGGGTTTCCAAAGCCTCCATCTCTGACACTGCACAGTTATGATAAAGCCATGAAACACAAGGCTGAAGCTACTACCCCTTTGATTCCTGGAAGAGACGAGGATTTTGTGGGTCAGAATAATTTTGATGATGCTGACCAACTGAGGATACAAAATGAAGGAATTTTCATGTTAACTCTTTTTCATGGTATGCCCCTTTAACTGGATTGGGTTTTTTATGTCTTCTGTTTGACCACCTCAGCTGCAGGAAGGTATGAGACCATTTTAGGATTTGGTCTCTCTCAAATTAAGTGGATCTTGATTGTCAAGTTTTATACCTGTTTCTCTGGATATTTTGATGGTCTGACTGGGCTTTGGCAGGTGTTCCGGATTTTAGGCTTTGTCCTGTTTCTCGGAGCATTTGTCAGTTATGAAAAAGTTCAGGAGATGCCAGATATTATCTCAAATCTCCCCAGGATCAGAGTTCTCTTTATTTACTAGAGATGTTTTCTGGCAAAGGCCTTCCTGCATTTATGAATTCTCTCTCAAAAAAAAAAGAGAGAGAGAGAGAGAACACCTGCAGGAAGTGAATCAGATACAGAAGATGCAGAACACAGAGGAATAATCACCTGCTTTTTAAAAATAAAGTGCAATTGAAAAAAGAAAAAAAGGAACAAGCAAATTCCTGTTGTTACTCATTAGGCCACTGATCAAACAAATTTTAGGAGTAAGAAGTAAAGGAAACAATGGAAATGTGATAGAAATAAGGAATGAGAGGAGCCAAAAATAGAAAAGAAAAATACGGGTATGTGAACTTCACCTCTGTAGCATATAAATCAACAGTTGCCTTGGAAGTGAAAGAGTAAAGTAGATCTAGTAACAATAACAGCTAACATTTGTTGAGCCCTAATGATGTGGCAGGTTCTGTCCTCACTACATATAAAGATGAAACCTGATACCCGTTTTACAGAGGAGGAAACTATAACACAGCAAACTAAATAAATTTGCTTAAGGCCACAAAACTAGTCAGTGCAGAGCAAGAATTTGAATCCAGGCTCTATACCTCTAAACCATACTATGACTCTATACCATACTGAGAACTTTTTCATTGCTTAACTTCATCGTGATTTGAAGGTGAAAGTGGATAGATTTCTAAAGTTAGTCACACAAAGGAAAGTCTGACCCCTGTGTCTTTTTGTGACTCATTCTCTCTCCTGAACTGTGCCTTTTCTTACAGATGATAAGAGAGTTTTTCAGAATAGATTGCTGTCAGCTTTGAAGTCTTTCAAAGGTAGGTAGGAAATGTAATGACAAAGTATATAAAATTGAGATTTTTTAACTATTTGTATTTTTTCCTATTTATTAGATCATGATTCCTCTGCCATTCCTTCTGTATATTAATCTTCTTTTTTTGGTGCTGTATAAGCTTGATCCCAGGATCAGACTCAAAGGAATCAGTCCTAAGTATCTCCACAATTGTCTTTCTATGCACTTTTGAATAGATCTAATTAGACTTTTAGCCTTCACAGTGTTGAAGGCTAATGCTCATAAATGCTTAGCTGTGAATTGTTTTCTTCTATTTTTTTTCAATATTAAATGTGTCATGTGCTCACTAAATATAAATTAAAGAAATAATGATCACTCATAATCCAACTATCCAATCATGACCACTCTAAATATTTTGAAACCCTATGTAATTAAAATAGCTATAATCTCATAGAGTCAAAAGTGCTCTAACATTCCATTGGAAGACTCCATAAAAGACACCAATGTACTAGTCTTGGTAAGTCAAACATACTCTTCCTGTGATGAAATACATTGTTATCACTATAGTTAACCAATTAGGTAAACTGGTTGGCTTGCCTAAGAGCCAGAGTATACAAAAAATTGTATCTAATACTAGAATCACATTGACTTAAGATGCTCACAATATGATAGAGGGGAAATGAATCCATCTTCTTGAATAATAAATTGATATTGTCCATCTGGGATTACTCTATGTGCTTGTTGACTGCAGATTGTCAGAATCACATGAATTATTTACATTGTTCATTTTATATATATTTTTACTGAGCATATGATTTTAATTCATGTATGTTATATGATATAACTTCACCCTATAAAATAACATTATTTTCCTATGGCAATCACCATTTATAACAGCTGTGGCTATGTACTTTTCCATGAAATGAATATAATGGTTTGCTTATCAATACCCTGTCATTAGATATCTAAATTCTGGGTCTTGCTTACTTGCTTGCTTGCTTGCTTTCTAACTCATCAGCACAAGAAGTATTTTTCTTATTGTATCTTTATTGTTTTTTTTTTTTTCTTACATCTCCATCCCTTTCTAAGGAGGAAAGATTGATGCCAATAACCTGAACACAGTTCTCAGGAACATGGGGATCAAGCTCAAAAATAAGGAATTTAAAAATGTTATACAAAATCAACCTATTGACGGTGAGCAGTGTAATTATATCACCTTTTAAGAGACACTTAGAATCTTGGGATCATGTTTAAGAATTTCTAAAACTATTTTAGCCACTCTGACCGGCATGAGGTGGTTTCTTAGTGTGGTTTTAATTTGTATTTCCCTGATGATGAGGGATACTGAACATCATTTCATGTGTCTGTTAGCCATCTGGATGTCCTCTTTGGAGAAGTGTCTGTTCATGTCTTCTGCCCATTTCTTCACGGGATTGTTTGTTTTTCGGGTGTGGAGTTTGGTGAGTTCCTTATAGATTTTGGATACTAGCCCTTTATCTGATATGTCATTTGCAACTATCTTTTCCCATTCCGTCAGTTGCCTATTAGTTTTATTGATTGTTTCCTTTGCCATGCAGAAGCTTTTTATCTTGATGAGGTCCCAATAGTTCATGTTTGCTCTTGATTCCCTTGCCTTTGGGGATGTGTCAAGTAAGAAATTGCTGCAGTTGAGGTCAAGGAAGTTGTTTCCTGCTTTCTTCTCTAGGATTTTGACGGTTTCCTGTCTCACATTCAGGTCCTGTATCCATTTTGAGTTTATTTTTGTGTATGGTGTGAGAAAATGATCTAGTTTCATTCTTCTGCATGTTGTTGACCAGTTCTCCCAGCACCATCTGTTAAAGAGGCTGTCTTTTTTCCATTGGATATGCTTTCCCACTTTGTCAAAGATTAGTTGGCTGTACATTTGTGGGTCCAAATCTGAGTTCTCTATTCTATTCCATTGGTCTATGTGTCTGTTTTTGTGCCAATACCATACTGTCTTGATGATTACGGCTTTGTAGTAGAGGCTAGAGTCTGGGATGGTGATGCCTCCCATTTTGGTTTTCTTCTTCAATATTACTTTGGCTATTTGAAGTCTTTTGGTTCCATACAAATTTTAGGATTGTTTGTTCTAGTTTTGAGAAGTATGCTGGTGCAATTTTGATTGGAATTGCATTGAATGTGTAGATTGTTTTGGGTAGTATTGACATTTTAACAATATTTATTCTTCCGACCCATGAGCATGGAATGTTTTTCCATTTCTTTGTGTCTTCTTCAATGTTCTTCATAAGTTTTCTATAGTTTTCATCATACAGATCTCCTATATCTTTGGTTAGGTTTATTCCTAGGTATTTTATGGGTTTTTGTGCAATTGTGAATGGGATCAGTTTTTTTTTTTTTATTTATCTTTCTGTTGCTTCATTATTGGTGCATAAAAATGCTACTGATTTCTGTACATTGATTTTGTACCTGCAACTTTGCTAAATTCATGGATCAGGTCTAGCAGGCTTCTGGTGGAGTCTGTCAGGTTTTCTATATAGAGTATCACGTCATCTGTGAGAAGTGAAAGTTTGACTTCTTCTTTGCCAATTCTGATGCCTTTTATTTCCTTTTGTTGTCTAATGGCTGATGTTAGGACTTCCAGCACTATGTTAAACAACAGTGGTGAGAGTGGACATCCCTGTTGTGCTCCTGATTTCAGAGGGAAAGGTCTCAGTTTTTCCCCATTGAGGATGATGTTAGCTGAGGGCTTCTCATAGGTGGCTTTTATGATGTTAAAGTAAGTTCCTTCTATCCTGACTTTCTTGATGGTCTTTATTAATAAGGGATGCTGAACAAATCAGGAGACTATCAATGCTGGCGAGGATGTGGAGAAACGGGCACCCTCCTACACTGTTGGTAGGAATGTAAACTGGTGCAGCACCTCTGGAAAACAGTGTTGAGGTTCCTAAAAAAAATTGACAATAGAACTCCCCTATGACCCAACAATAGCACTGATAGGAATTTACCCAAGTGATACAAATGTGCTGATGCATAGGGGCACATGTACTCCAATGTTCATAACAGCCCTCTCAACAATAGCCAAAACATGGAAAGAGTCTAAGTGTCCATCAAATGATGAATGGATCAAGAAGATGTGGTTTATCTATACAATGGAATACTACATGGCAATGAGAAAGAATGAAACCTGGCCATTTGTAGCAACATGGATGGAACTTGAGGGTGTCATGCTGAGCGAAATAAGTCAGGCAGAGAAGGACAGATACCATATGTTTGCATGTATCGGTGGATTAGGAGGAACTTAACGGAGGACTATGGGGGAGGAGAAGGGGTAAAATAGTTGGGAAGGGAGGCAAACCATAAGAGACTCTTGAATGCTGAGAACAAAATGAGGGCTCATAGGGGTGGGGGAGAGGGGAATGGGAGTGGTGGGCATGGAGGAGGACTCTTTTGGGATGAGCACTGGGTGTTACATGGAAACCAACTTGACAATAAACTAAGAAAAAAAAAGAAACTATACACACGTACACACAAAAGAAAAAATAAAAGAACATTAAAAATAAATAAATAAAAATAAAAATAGAAGAATTTCTAAAACTAGATTGATTTGAGGAGTATAAGCTATTTTTAAGAATCATAGAAAAAACTTGGTCTTTTTTTAAGTTTATTTATTTGAGAGACAGAAAACATGTGCCTGCAAGTGAGTGAGGGGCAGAGAGAGAGAGAGAAAGAAAATCTCAAGCAGACTCCCTGCTGTTAGTGCAGAGACTGATGCAGACTCAATCCTATGAACCATGAGATTATAACTTGAGCTGAAATCAAGAGTCGGACACTTAACCAACTAAGCCATCCAGGCGTCCAAAGAACTTGATCTTAAACTAAGACGAAATCCTGTCTTTTTTCATTTTTATTCATCTGAAATTGTCCTCCTATTCAACCATGATTAAAAATGCAGAAGGAATATTCACAGCCATTGTGATGCCGGAGAATGGTAAAGAGAAACAAACATGGAAACAGTGGGGAAAATGAATGAATGCCTAACTAAGAGAACCTGAAATAATTGAGAGAAAAATACACATATTGGAAGTAGTAGAACATCATTAATATTTCCACCATTAATATTATATCTAGTAGGGGCGCCTGGGTGGCTTAGTCGGTTAAGCATCCGACTTTCGCTTAGGTCATGATCTCGCGGTTCGTGGGTTCGAGCCCCGCGTTGGGCTCTGTGCTGACTGCCAGCTCAGAGCCTGGAGCCTTTTTCTGAGTCTGTATCTCCCTCTCTCTCTGACCCTCCCCTGCTCATGCTGTCTCTCTCTCTCCTAGAAATAAATAAAAATATTAAAAAAAATTATATCTAGTAACCACATGTCACCACCATTTTGAGATAGATACAGGAGTTGAAAACACTCAAGAAAAGTTAACTGCAAATAGATGGAAGATGTAAAGCCCCTTCCTCGGTATGTGTGCTAGATGTAAAGTTCACAAAAAATAAACAAAACAAAGCCAACTGGCCTTTATGAATGATACATTCTTCCATGCTTAAAGTATCTGAAGTCCTAAGAACTGGAGATAGTACATTTGTATAGTCAGACCCTGTGTTCAAGGAACATGAGCCAAATGCCATTGTCCTTCTTACCAATAAGGAATCAAGCACTCAAACCAGGAAATATAAATTTAAGGTAAAATATAAATTATTTAGTCGAATATATGGACTTTCACTGAGCCCTAGTCCCAATTTTTCTAAGTCTTATGTCATTGTCTAAATTTTTTGTTTTGTATTACAGCTGATGGAAATGTTTCTCTGAAAAAAGTAATGAATGATGTGAAAGCAGTTACAGGCAAGTTAAAAGTTATCATAAAGATTAAAATTCTAATTATTTAATGACATTTTCCCATCTTGTCTTCTCGCTGAACACATAAATCCATAAACATAGTACTAATTTCCATGACTCCACCTCAACGAAATAACTAGAGTATTTCCAATAGCATTGCATCAATAAATGGTTGTTTCCTTATTCATTTACCATGCCTCCTTACTTTTTGAGATAGCACTATTCTGAATTTTATATTGTCCATTTTTCTTTTTAAAAGTCATAGTCTTATTACCTATATAATAACAACATAGTCTTTCATTTTGCTTCCCCTGCCTCTATAAAAACGCTATCATAAATAGTGTGCAGTGTTCACTAACCCTAGTTATGTGCAGGTTCTTGAACTTGTTTTTTTAAGATCATTGTGAGAAGTGTATAGAGAAAAGCAAGAAATCATTGTCCAAAAAGTCAGGATAGTGATTACCTCTGGAGAAAGATCGTGGATAGGGATTGGGAAAGAATGTGAGAGATCCCCAGAGTGTTGTCATGTTCTATTTCTCACCTAGATGGTGGTTACAAAGGTGTTGTTCCAAGTGCTTATGTCTAATTCTCCAAAGTCAGTCTTCAGATTGTCGGGATTAAAAAATTTTTTTCTCATTTCTCAGTAGCAAGTCCTATATCCTCTAAAATGCTTGCCTGTAATAATTCTTCTGATCTTCACCACTGGAAAAAACTGAAAATCTATGTCAAGAACAAACAAACTATAGCCCGTGGACCAAATCTAGTCTTCTGCCTCTTTTTATAAATAAAATTTTATTAGAACACAGTCATATTCTTCATGTATGTATTATTAGTGGCTGCTTTTGTGCTACAACAGAAAAATCGAGTAGCTACAACAGAGGCTCTATACCTTGCAGAGCCTAAAATATTTACAGTCTCTCCTTTTACAGATAAAGTTCACCAATCCTTGATCTAGATCACCACAACAATAGTTGAAGTAAAAACTGGGGTTTATTGTCCAAATAACCTAATAATTTTGGAGGAAAACAGCAACATTAAGTTAACCTTTATATTCTAATTTACAAGACAATTACCTAAACCCCCTCTTTACTGAGAATTGTACTTTCTTACCCCCAATGTTATGAAAGTGTATCTTTCCCTAGGGTCAAGGGAATACATTCTAAGTTTCTGCCTGCCCTTTACCCCACTGAGCAGGACTTGCTGTGCCTTTGTCTTTTATCTAGTAGTTGGAGTGGGTGATGTATAAACATGGGCAGTTTTGTTTGATCTTTTTGAATACTTAGATAATTCTTAATATTGTCAATTATACTTGCCATTTCTGTTTTTTGAAGGAGAAAAAGTTAATGTCAAAGATCTGAAAAATATTCTAAAAGACATTGGGATAGAATTCACACCTAAAGAATACCTGGAACTGGTGAAAAATCTTCAAGTTGATGGTAAGCATTTTAGATACTATTAGAGCTTTCAAGGGAGGTGGTCTGGGTGTTTAAGACAACTTTTTAAAAAAGCTATACTTATTTTTTCCTTCCCTTCCCCTATGTTCATCTGTTTTGTTTCTTAAATTCCTTATATGAGTGAAATCATATGATATTTGTCTTTCTCTGACTGACTTATTTCACTTAGCATAATACATGCTAGTTCCATCCACACTGTTGTAAATGACAAGATTTCATTCTTGCCATTGAGTAATATTCTATTGCATATATACAGTACATATTCTTTATCCATTCATCAATCAATGGACATTTGGGATCTTTTCATAATTTGGCTATTGTTGATAGCACTGCTATAAACATTGGGGTGCATGTGCCTCTTTGAAATAGCATTTTTGTATCCTTTGGATAAATACCTAGAAGTGCAATTGCTAAGTCACAGGGTAGTTCTACTTTTAATTTTTTGAGAAGCCGCCATACTGTTTTCCGGAGTGGCTATACCAGTTTACATCCCCACCAACAGTGCAAAAGCATTCCCCTTTCTCCATATCCTCACCAACATCTGTTGTTTCCTGAGTTGTTAATTTTAGCCATTCTGACAGGTGTAAGGTGGTATCTCATTGTGGTTTTGATTTGATGGTGAGTGATGTTGAGCGTCTTTGGAAAAGTGTCTATTCAAGTCTTCTGCCCAAACCATAAAAGACTTAAATACAGAGAACAAATTCAGGGTTGCTGGAGAAGAGGCATGTGGGGAGATGGACTAAATGGACGATGGGCATTAAGGAAGACACTTGCTGGGATGAGCACTGGGTGTTATATATAAGTGATGAACCAATACTACATTATTTGTGAACTACTCTACTTATTACATATTCCTAATTTTAAAACAATAAAAAGAATGTCTAAGAAATTTTACCATAACCTTGTTTACCCTTTAGAAAGTCCTTTCTTTGGGAGTCAGCAACTCTATTTTCTTGAATCCTACTTTTGGATAGAAAATTTTCAGCTATTTTGCTTTCACCCCCAAAACTAAAAGTTAAGCTGAAAGATGTAAGAAAAAAGTGAGGGTGGCAGGAATAAGAGAGTAGAAGAAGGAAAAGTCCAAGAAAGTGAAAGAAAAATATGTTCATATTCCATTATGGCACCTGCCACCGATTACTGGCTTTGCACTTAGCCACACACAGTGCTCTGAGAGTTTTCTCCCTTCCGTGGTTTCAGATTCATTGGAGGGTAAAAATCAGAGTTATCTCTAAGGCAGATCACTTAAAAGTATCTTTGTGAAGTGGCATGTTTGTACTATCTCTTTAAATCTCTATATCACTTCATCTGTGATGTCAATTGTGCCTTTTCTTGCAGATGATGGAAACATATATGAAAACAGATTGCTAGATTGCTTGAGATCTTTCAACGGTGAGTAATATGATGACAAGAAAGATAAATAAGATTCTCCCGCCTCACATTTGTTTTCTTATTTAGCTATTCTCTTGTGGCTGTTACCACCTCTCATATGAACAGATTCTGTATTTATTTTGCTGCTGTGAATATAGCTGCCTTGTTCAAATTATTTCATCTTGCTCATTAGTGAGTTTGGTTTTTGTCAAATTTAATTTAAGAGCATATTTAAATCTGGGTGTACATAGAAAACATGAGGTTTGGTAGGGGCATCTGGGTAGGGGCATCTGCTGTTAAGCATGTGACTCTTGGTTTCAGTTCAGGTCATGATCTTGAGGTTCCTGAGATCATGTAGGGCTCTGCACTGACAGCATGGAGCCTGCTTGGGATTCTCTCTCTCTTCTCTCTCTCTCCACTCCTGTCCCGCTTGCAGTCTCCCTCTCTCTTTCTCTCTCTCTCTCAAAAGAAATAAAATTTTAAAAAAAGAATTGGCAGTTGTTCTGGGCATTTCAGTGACTAGAAGAATGAAACTCAGCATTTATGCACTGCCTACCAGAAAAAAAGTTTTCACTTGGTTGTCTCTACCATTATAACTCACTGGAGAATGAATTTGTACTTTGTAGGATTGTCCTCCAGACCAAGGAAGAGGTTATAATTCTAATTTCACTTTGTCCACCTTTGTGCACTTGAATGTGTTCATTCCCTGATATTTTTGCATGGTGCATGACAATTAATTGAAATTTTTTCCTTTGGAGAAGGCATTAAATTTCTCTTGTATTCCCAATTCTTTCTTTAGGCGGGAAGGTTGATGTCAGTAACCTAGGAAACGTTTTGGAAAACATGAAAATCAAGTTCCCAGATAAGAAACTTAAAGACTTATCACAAAACCTACCAACTGATGGTGAGCATCATAGATATTAGAGACCTCTTAAGGGAAATTTAGACTTAAAAGCTTATGTATGAGAATTCCTAGAACTAGATCCGTTTGGGTGTTAATATGACTTTTTAACTCTTTAAACATGAAAGAATATTTTGATTCAGTGTATTTGCATTAATCTCAAGGTGCATGGTACATGTGTTAGAATGAGTTATAGGAGATAAGTATTACTTAAAAGAAGGTGAAGGAAGGCTTGTTCCCTGCAGGGAAGAGGTTGCTAATTTCACATTAACTACATGATTTAAGTATCTTTTAAATGTCATGTCACCCAGCGATACAATCCTGTTGGAGAAATAACTAAAAGGGTGTGACTTCTGGTTGACCACTGAACTGGACCCAGGCAACCAGAGGCTCCTCACTCCCTCCCTTGTCCCTGGAATATATGCTCTGCCAACCATTCCCACAGTGAGGGCCATATTCAAGGATGTTGTCTTGAAAGAACAATGTGTTTGAAACCTTCTGGACAGTATACTTGACTGAACCCAGTTAAGGTCTCTATATGAACTTTAAGATTCCAGAGGGTAGATGCAGAGATCTACTCATCTTGCTGGCTACCCAGGAGAATCCTTGTATGTAAGTTCTCTTGCTTATTAAAACTGCCACCTACCAATCTAGAATGGCCCGCCTCTTTCTGCCTTCTGTTGGGGGAAGGGGGGTGGTACAGTTTTAGATTTCATCCAGGTAGTTTCCAAGGTTGTGAATCAACGATTCCTCTATACCTATACATTCCTGATCCCCTCCTCCTGTGTTTTGGCACTAGTTTTCATTCTTATTCCTTCCTGGTCTACATTAGGAACTTTAAACAGCAATATTTTACTTTCTTTCAAATAGCCTTCTAGGAGTACCCAGCTGGCTCAGTCAGAAGAGCATGCGACTCTTGATCTCAGGGTGTGAGTTCAAGTCTCACATTGGGTATAGAGATTATATACATAACATACATACACATAAACAAAACTAGCCTTCTAATTCTCTTACTCTAATTACGAAAAAATGTAGTCCTCATATTCATCAAAAATACTAGTCCCTGCATTTCTACATTTGCTTTCAATACATAACTCCTTTTAACTTTATTTCTTTGACTGTCTAGCTACTCTCTCTGTCATATCTGCTGTACATAACTCCAGCATTTGATCACCTTAGTCATTCAAACCTTCATTCCTATTTCTGAGCCTTGCTAAAGAAAATCCTATAAACTTACAGATCAGTGCCCCTTCAAACTCATTTCCTCTTGGATAGTACAAGGACCTAAGAACATTTTAACCCCATTTTCCCCTTCCCTATATTAATGTTGTTTCATGTCTTTTAATACTATCTTGTGTATTTTTTCAACTCAGCAAAGCATTATTAGTAGCAACGTTTTATAAAGCCAATATTCATCAGATTTAACCACGTTTGCCTTTTCTTTGCTATTCATTCTTACTTCAGATCTTTTATTTGGGGTAATTTTTCTTCTGCTGCTAGTAATTTCCTTTATTTAGGGTCTACTAATGACACATAATGATTTGGGAAGGGTTCGGGGCCTGAAAGTATCTTTACCCTTACTTTTCAAAGATATTTTCTCTGGGTTTAGAATTCTTGATGGACAGTTATTTTTTTTTTTCCTCACACTGAAAATACCATTCCATTATCTTCTGCTTTATAATGTTGGTGATAAAAGTCAGCTATGAATCTATTGGTCTTTGGAGGGTACTCTTTTTTTTTCTTTTAAAATGTTTCTTTGTTTCCAAAGTTTCACTATAATGTGGAAGATAAGGATGGATTTCTTTTCACTTATTTTCCCTGGGATTCTTTGGGACTTCTGAGTCTGAAAATTAGAATCTTTCATCAGATCTAGAAAATTCTCAGTCATCATCTGTTCCAATATTGTCTGTATCCCATAGTCTTTATTTTCCCCCTGGAACTCCAATTAAATGTATACTAAACCATCTTCCTCTCTCCTCCATGACACTTAGTCCCTCTTCAGTATTTTCTATACTTTTCTTCCTGTGCTTCATTCTTGATAATTTTGCCTGACTTGACCTCCACTATGCTAACTCTTCAGCTATCTAACCTGCTGTTACATATACTATTGACCTCTTGTTTTAGTTTTTGTATTTCAATAAAAATACAAATAATAGTTTGTGGTGTTTGTATTCTTTTTTGTATTTTGTCTTGTATCCTTTTGGGGGGTTTTGTTTTTATTTGTTTTTAATTTTTTTTAATGTTTATTTTTGAGACAGAGAGACAGAGGGAGAGAGAGAGAGAGAGAGAGAGAGCAGGGGAGGGGCAGAGAGAGAGGGAGACACAGAATTCAGAGCAGGCTCCAGGCTCCAAGCTGTCAACACAGAGCCCAACATGGGGCTCAAACCCACAAACTGTGAGATCATGACCTGAGCCGAAGTTGGACACTTAACTGACTGAGCCACCCAGGCGCCCCTGTTTTTCATTTTTCATTTCCAGAAATTCTACTTAGTTCTCTTCTGAATCCAGTAGCTCAGGTTTTTAGTTTGTTGTTCCCTGCAGATATTTTCCAATTAAAATGGTTCTCTTATAATCTTGGCCTCGTAATTACAATTAATGAATTGTTCGTGGAGGTTCTTTTTGCCTCTTTTGTTTCTTCTGATTCTCACTTATGGTGTCCTTGTTTCCCTCTGTGTTTGGTTATTTACTATATGCTGTTCAATGTTTTGAAAAATTACTGTGAGAATTCTTCGAGACCTGAAATGAAATGCATTCCTCCAGAAAGGATTTGCTTTACTTCCTATTCATTTGAGTTTACTATCTGTCAGAGACATCTCAATGACTTTTCATTACTATTCCCCTCATAAGGGGAATATACTTTCCTCAGCTCTGCTAAATTAGTTACCACTACCTTACTTGCTTTCTAATTTCCAAATATTTGTGAAGTTTCTTGTTCACTGGTATCTCCTATATTGTTGTCCTTGTGAGTATATTCTTTTATTATTCCTTTCCTATCATTTTAGTGAGGTTTTCAGGAAGAAGAGGAAATAAATACTTGTGGAGAGTAAAGGTTTTGAAACATTACCCTAGCCGACAAATTGATCAAACTATTTTTTTCTGAGAAAAAAAATTAAATAACTGAAATCCACAGAGGGATCGCCAATTAAAAATCGAGAAGTGAGAGCCATTGGGTTTAGTCCTCAGGCTGGAGGATATTACGTACATCTGGAACAAAGATAAGCATTTACAAACCCAGATCAAATAAATAATACTCTGCTTCCCTCAGTGGTTCCCATTGTCATCATGTGCATGATGAGCTATTACACCTTTGCTGTCGATCCTGTGAAATCAGCAAAACTTTTCCTTGCTATTTTATTTTTTTTCCTTGCTATTTTAGAATAAAAAATAAAAGAGAGATTTCTGAAAGCGTGTCCTGATAGAGAAGCTCAAGAAGATCAAAGCTTTCTTCTTACCTAGGCTCAGTGAAACAAGTAATAAATAAAGGCTCCGTGAGGAAAGGAATCATGTTGCTGTTGTAACACCTAGTGCCTTCCCATATATGCAGATACTTGAAACTTTATAAATTATTTGTTGAATGAATGAGGAATTGAATTAGTTAAGTAATATGTTTCTTAGCCTCTCTGCAAGGCCCTCCACAAGGACTTTCCAGTTATGGTCATCAATGGACATTAACTGATAGTTAACTGGGAGTTTGATGTAAAACGACATTGTGCTATATATGTAGCAAGAGCCCCCAGGGTGCAAATCTACCAACTAAACATATGGAGATGGTATACTGGAAACTACCCTAAAGGAAGAATGGGATTCCATAGTAATAAATGGCATATGTTTTGGTAAGAAAATGCTAATATATGCATAATTTCTAAGTTTTCTTTTTCGTACCCTAAAATATACTGCATCTGCAATCCTGGAAAAATATACTGATTTCAGAGCTAATTCTGTCATTCTAACATGTTTCACTCCACTGTTTAATTTTTTTTAATTTTTTAATGTCTTTATTTATTATTGAGAGACAGAGAGAGACAGACTATGAGCATGGGAGGGGCAGAGAGAGGGAGAGACACAGAATCGGAAGGAGACTCCAGGGTCTGAGCTGTCAGCACAGAGCCCGTCGCAGGGCTCAAACTCACAAACTGTGAGATCATGACCTGAGCCAAAGTTGGATGCTTAACTGACTGAGCCACCCAAGTGCCCATCCACTGTTTAATTTTAAAGTCTTTAATATTACTTTGTGCAAAGCCTTATGGTGCTTACTGGGTTAGGATGTCTGGATGGAATACAAAATAAATAGAAACCTTTTTTTTTTTCAATTTAAAGACACTCACAATCTTTGAGTACATAATGAACATACCTATTAGAAAAAAAATGCAATAAACTAAACTAACTTGGCAGTGTCAATACTGGAAATGTTAAATGAAGAAATAGCTAGATTTAAATTTCTGAACTGGAACTTTTTGCTCTTGTTCCCAGCATCTGGGATAGTAGATGGCATAAACTGAAGAGAACAAGCCTGAGGAGGGAGATGTTACATGGTGTGTGGAGGTTGAGATATTAAAAGAAAGCAGCAAATAAATAGTGAAATAAATAATTAACATTTTTGAAGGGGCACCGGAGTGGCTCAGCTGGTTAAGCGTCCAACTTTGGCTCAGGTCATGATCTCACAGCTCGTGAGTTCAAGCCCCACGTGGGGCTCTGTGCCGACAGCTCAGAGCCTGGAGCCCACTTCGGATTCTGTGTCTCTCTCTCTCTGCCCCTCCCCAGCTCATGCTCTGTCTCTGTCTCTCCTCAAATAATAAATAATGAAAAATGTTTTAATAGTTAATATTTTTAGAGCATAGTTTTCCATTTCTTGCTAATTTGCATATGTGTATTCAACAACAAATCGTAAAGAAATATTCTTTTGCTCTATTTAACAATCATTCTCTATCAGTGCACAATTGTGTCTGTCTGAACCATGGCTTATATCTTTTTAGCTTCTGGGATGGCTGATCTGCATGAACTGCTAAAAGAAATAAAGAAATTCACAGGTGAGCAAGATGTTTTGTGAAAAGAAATAAAACAAAGAAAATACTTCACATTCACATACATATTTAAGGTTGTGTTTTCTTATTCTGTCATTGACTGTTAACTTCTCCTTTTTTGATGATTAAAATTTTATTCTAATGACATGAAGATTACATTGGATTATTTATGTTTTGGCAAAAATGTTGCACTGTTCTCTTTATAACAAGTCCTATATTCTCTGAAATTTCATTTTTATTTTGTGATTCATTCCAATGGGCAACACACCTGTTCATTTACTTAAAATATTTAATTACCATCTACTGTAACCCAGTAAATGTTAAGGTGAAACTTTGACAGGGATACAAATAATGTGGTCAGGGTAGATAATCTATCTCCCAAGTCAGGCAAAGCAAAGAGTAACAGATTTCAGTGATGATAATACAGTTAAAATTGGGTAGCTGTCTTTATATAACTTAGATCACTTTGCCTCCTATATATTCCTTTCTATGATCTGGGTTAACTCCTCTGAGGTCATGAAGAGCATTAGGAATAAGTATTTTATTTAGAACTCAAGAAATACTTTCTGATAACTATAGATAACCCTTTTTTTCTTAGTTTATTGTCAAGTTGGTTTCCATGTAACACCCAGTGCTCATCCCTACAAGTGCCCTCCTCCATGCCCATCAACCCCCTTCCCCTCTCCCCCACCCCCATCAGCCCTTAGTTTGTTCTCAGTATTCAAGAGTCTCTCTGCTAGGAATTTACCCAAGAGACACAGGAGTGCTGATGCATAGGGGCACATGTACCCCAATGTTCATAGCAGCACTTTCAACAATAGCCAAATCATGGAAACAGCCTAAATGTCCATCAACGGACGAATGGATCAAGAAGATGTGGTTTATCTATACAATGGAATACTACATGGCAATGAGAAATAATGAAATCTGTCCATGTGTAGCAATGTGGATGGAACTCGAGGGTATTATGCTGAGCGAAATAAGTCAGGCAGAGAAAGACAAATGTACTGTATGTTTTCACTTATATGTGGATCAGAAGAAACTTAACAGGGGACCATGTGGGAGGAGAAGGGGAAAAAATAGTTGGGGAGAGGGAAGAGACAAACCATAAGAGACTCTTGAATAGATAACCCTTTTAAGCTTAGACACTTCATCATTTGGAGTCAGTAGGCAATTGTCATCTGTTACCATTCCCATCTTTTAAAGGAGGAAAAGTTGAAGCCAAGGATATACACAAAGTACTGGGAGACATGGGAATAGAGCTCACAGATAGAGAGCTCAGGGGGCTGTTGAAAACATTGCCTATTACTGGTAAGTGGTTTCTATATCACTGTATATGTAGAGTATATCCCTGTGCTAGTGTAAACTTTAATGTGAGAACATCTAAAGAATGGACCCATCTGGTTTCCTATAAAATTCTAAAAGACAAAAAAGACCAACACTTAGTTGTAAAGAAATTAGGCCTTTGGCTTTTAGGTTTACTGTTTTGGGAGGCTATGATATCTTCAAACATAGTTCCTGCCCTTAAGAATATCATTACTCTAAAAAAAAAAAAAAGAATATCATTACTCTGAGGTGAATGAAGATTAAGCAGGGCAAAGACCAAAAGAAGGCTAAATTAGCAGGTAGTAAAGGAAGGAAAAGGAGAAATCAGGATGGAGGAAAATGTGTATCTATTTCAGTGTAGAAGAATGGACAGACTGTCCACATTAAAAAATTTCTCTTTGTCTTATTTTTTTCTTATTTATTAAGAGGTATGTAGGCCCGGGGAGTGTAGGCATGCAACTTAAGATGATATTTTTAATGTATGTATTTATGAAAGTTCACTCTTCCTACTCCTGGTCCATATAACCTTTATAATTTTTTGTACCTTAAATGTGTCTAATTTTACAGCTGATGGGAAGGTAGAGAAAAATACATTACTCGATCATATACAAGCTTTTCCTGGTAAGTGAGAATCTCAACAAGAAGACAAGTAATACTAAGATCTACAAACTTTACCTTAGCTTTTAAAGACCTTATCGTTATACAATAACTAGGTTATTGAGTTTATTATCCCATTAGCCTGTAGATCTACTTTAGATGCAACTACATCCAATGTGATAATTTATAATTCTCTGATACTAAAAAAGTTTCAAAAAATCTATTTGCTATCCAGAGCTCTAGTTAGACAATAATTCATCGGATTCTATATGTAGAATATATATATATATATATATATATACACACACACACTGAATAGATTCTGAATCTATACTATATAGCCACTATATATGGTCATATATGTATATATACATATATGTATATATACATATATATGAATACTACATACATATATATATAGCCACTATATATGGCCGTGTGTGTGTGTGTGTGTGTGTGTGTGTGTGTGTGTCTTTCCTGCAAACTATATAAAGGACCCCTGAGATGAGATTGGAGGAATATATCCTATTCTTAACTTCTACAATAAATTTCTATTGTGGAATGTGTTCAACATGTACCACAGGTAGCCCTAAACAACATTTTGTTTTCTTTTTTTAATTATTGTGCTGTGGATTTGTTTCATTCAGTTGATGTGTGAATATAGCCAGTCGGTTCCTATTTTCATCCCTATTCCTTCTTCCCTAAGGTGGAAAGTATCGCGCCTCTAAAATGCAAGGCATCCTGGAAAACTTGGGCTATGAGCTGGACGATGAGGAAGTTGAGGACCTGCAGAATCGTCTGCCACATGATGGTAAGCTTTTGGTTCCACCTTTAGGGAAAGTGAGCTCCTCTAATAAAACCTCCAAATGTATTCATATGGGAAAAAATGTATCCTCTCAGATCATTATTGTTTAAATCAGTAAGCTGTTAAAACAGTGACACCCCGCAGAACTAAATTCCTAGATGCCAACTAGAAGTCGACAGACCTAAGAAGCAGGTAGAGAAATAAACAAAGGAAAGTAAAGTCAAAGAAGAAATTTTAAAATCAGTGATCACTTTCCCAAATCTTTCCTTGTCTTGAAGATTACTATCAGGTGGGAGATAGTTTTCACTGGCCCTGTTTCTGTCTGACTTCCTCTAACATTGTCTGGATACATGTACCCCACACTTCTTGCTCCCCTTTCTGGAAGAACTCTTTGGTTCTTTCTTTTTATTTGTTTTTTTGTTTGTTTGTTTGTTTTTGTTTTTTTAATTTTTTTAATGTTTTATTTATTTCTAGGAGAGAGAGAGAGACAGTGTGAGCAGGGGAGGGTCAGAGAGAGAGGGAGTCACAGACTCTGAAACAGGCTCCAGNTATATGTGCAAATATATGGTATCTGTCCCTCTCTGCCTGACTTACTTCGTTCAGCCTAACACCCACTAGGTCCATCCATGTTGCCACACATGGCCAGATTTCATTCTTTCTCACTGCCATGTAGTATTCCATTGTATAAATATGCCACATCTTCTTGATCCATTCATCAGTTGATGGACAATTAAGTTCTTTCCATGTTTTCTCTCTCTCTCTCTCTCTCTTTTTTACCAATAGTTTATTGTCAAATTAGTTTCCACATAACACCCAGTGCTCATCCCCACAAGTGCCCTCTTCCATGCCCATCCCCCCTCCCCCCCACATCCATCAGTCTTCAGTTTTTGTCAGCATTCAAGAGTCTCTCATGGTTTACCTCTCTCCCTTTCCCCCACCATTTCCGCCCTTCTTCTCCCCCTTGTTCCTCACTTAAGTTCCTCCTAATCCTCCTATACGTGCAAACATATGATATTTGTCCTCTCTGCCTGACTTATTTCGCTCAGCATAACACCCTCAAGGTCCATCCATGTTGCTACACGTGGCCAGATTTCATTGTTTCTCATTGCCAACAATGAAGCAACAGAAAGAGAAATCAAGAAACTGATCCCATTTACAATTGCACAAAAAACCATAAAATACCTAGGAATAAACCTAACCAAGGATACAAGAGATCTGTATGATGAAAACTATAGAAAACTTATGAAGGAAATTGAAGAAGACACAAAGAAATGGAAAACATTCCATGCTCATGGATAGGAAGAATAAATATAGTTAAGATGTCATGACTACCCAAAGCAGCTCAGGTTTATGGTTTCTCCCTTGTCCACAGCGCCCAGAGTGTGCTCTGAGGGCGCTGCCTGTTTACTCTCACCACCGCACTCGCTCACAAGGAGCTTGCTGCAGAGTTGGGAGGAGGTACGGGCTTAGCACTCAGGGTGTTGGAGGTGTCCACACAGGCCAGACGTGGGGTTCCTCCAGTGAGGTTCTCGCAGCAGCTCATGGACAGGCTCCTCTACTGAGTCTGAAGGCAGTCAGCAGCAACCACACCCGTCGAATGCTCTTTAATATTATCTGCCTATTCCTGATCTTCCTTTCTCCAGTCATGGAGGCCCCACCTCAACACTTGGGGTGCTGCAGGGGAGAAACTGGCTTCTCTAGCAGCGTTCCACACAGCTGGGGTAGCTGGACGGCCACTCGCAGCTCTCCCATCCCTCTCGGGAGAGATTGCCACCAGCTAGTGTAGCCCTGCGCTGTGCTGCCTGGAGGGTAGGGCCGCACTGACAAGATTCCTCTTACCCTCTCCATTGCGTCCAAACTCCTGTGGAGGGCCGGCATCTCTCCTCAGGAAAGGTGGACCTCCACGAAGCCCCACTCACTGTGGGTGTCTGCCCAGGTCTGCACTCTTCTGGATTTTCTTAACCACGGGGGGGTTGTGGATGATTTGCAAGTTCCTGCTGGCTCTCCAGCCTGTACCAAGGTCTGTCTACCTGTTACCCAATACCCATGTGGCAGATTCCTACTGGGTTCCTTGGCATATGGTGCTGGATCCCACAGCTCCCACAGAGGTACTTTTGTTCATGGGGGGGTGGGGGGGTGCTGAATTTGGTTGTTAGAAAGGGGGAAAAAAAGGAGGGACGTCTTATCCTACCATGATGCTGCCATTATTCCTCAGTAATTACAAAGTATTAAATGCCTGCTTTATACCACAAACAATATTTGACACTTGAAATATGTTATCAGTAGTCCTCAAAACAACTCTGAAAAATAGATTGTAATCCTAGTTTCTCTGACATGGAAATTGAGAGTCAGTCACAGAAGTTAACTGCCTTGACCAAAGCCACACGGCTGCTAAGTGGCAGAATGGGGATGTCAACCCTATAGAAGCCTAACTAGGTTTATATATCTTCAAAGGTTTGCCCTTTGTACTAAATAATACTGCCTTGTATAAGAGAGGGAAGCAGGGCTACATAGACTGTGGTAGGGATGATACCCTCAGGGGAGCTGTGTGATGTGGTCCTAGAAACGAGGGTTTTCAACCAGTAAGTACACAAATGAGAGATTCAGAAAAGTCTAGAAATCTTGGTGGCTGTGGAATTGGAAGGTTAAAGAATGTGCTGAGTAAAGGTTGCCTGCAGAAGTAACCACCTATAACATTTTAGGTAGGTGAACACATTGATATTACAGTGTAAATTGCTTTTAAATCCTGTAACAGTAAGGTGGCCAAACATCAGAATACTCCTGCATTCCAAAGTAGAGCAAGCCAAGGGGAAAACAGGACCAGCAATGCTTTTAAAACTTGCAGCACTACTGGGATTTACCCAATGAATACAAAAATACTAATTCAAAGGGATATGTGCCCCCAATGTTTATAGATGTATTATCAACAATAGCCAAATCATGGAAAGAGCCCAAATGTCCATCACCTGATAAATGGATATTTACAATGGAATACTACTCAGCCATAAAAAGGATGAAATCTTGCCATTTGCAATGATGTGGATGGAGCTAGAGGATATTAGGCTAAGCAAAATAAGTCAGAGAAAGACAAATACCATATGATTTCACTCGTGTGGAATTTAAGAACCAAAACAAAAGATCATAAAGGAGGAAAAAATAGACGGGGAAACCAAGAAACAGACTCTTAACTATAGAGAACAAACTGATGATTACCAGAGGGGAGATGGGCAGGGGAATGGGTGAAATAGGTGATGGGGATTAAGGGGTGCACTTGTAGTGATGAGCATAGGGTGATGTGTGAAGTGTTGAATCAATAAATTGTATACATGAAACTAAAAAAATAAAATGAAAATAAATTTAAAAATAAAACTTCCTAGCACTTCTCTATATAGAATTTTATATTTTATACTGCAAGTCCTTCTTCTTTGCTATATATTTATCATATATAAAATTTTATTCTTGGAGTACCTGGATGGCTGTCAGTTGGGTATCCGACTTTGGCTCAGGTCATGATCTTGCACTTTGTGAGTTCGGGCCCCAAATCGGGCTCTGTGCTGACAGCTCAGAGCCTGGAGCCTGCTTCAGATTCTGGGTCTCCCTATCTCTCTCTCTCTCTCTCTGCCCCTCCCCCATTCATTCATTTATTCATTCTCTCTCTCTCCCTCTCTCTCAAAAAAAATTTTTTTTTAATTTTAATTAAAAAAAGTAAAACTCTCTTCTTCAATCCCATGCTCTTATGGGATAAACTTCTAAATTTCAGTGTTTTGTTCCACAATATGAGGTCTTTATAATGTTTTCTGGGTCTGAGTCATTATGGCTGGGTCTCATCTGTACCTTATTTTACAGATACAAAGGTTAAACTGAATATACTCATGGAAAATGTAGAGCCATTCATAGGTGAGTGAAAGCTTATAGGAAAAACTCATTATTAATAGCAATATTCTGATGCTTTCCTGTCATGGTTTGAAACATTTTATTCCTATAATACTGACATTATTAGTTTTCTTGGTATATTAATGGTACCTTTTATGCAATGATCCAGATTAGCTTTGAGTTATATGCTTTTTGAGCAAAACTACTGAATTTTTATGTCTTAGTAAAATATCCTGTGTTCTCTGGATTTTTTTTCACAAATACACATCACTTTCCACTGTTTAAACAGCCAAAAAAAATCTATGTTGCCACAATAATTGGCATGATAAAACATTGGTATAAATCTTTTTCTGAATAATATATCATACGGGCAAAAAAAGTAATATAGACACTGTCTTAAAGAATTACTTACATAGTCCTTTATATAAGCAATTCTAGTCTCTTATACAACTCCCATTTCAGTGTTGATTTACCTCATTTTCATTAGAGCATTCAGAGGGGTTTTTTTTTTCCTCTCTAGAATTAGAAGATTTAGTTCTGTTTCTGATCTTCCCTTAGAGTCTTAACTCAGTGTTTTGACCAACCCTGCTCTTAATTCTGCAATTAAACTTAGATGAAATTCATAATTTAGAATCATTCATCACCCTTACATTTTTCATCAGTCATAATTTCCATCTCTTCAAAGGAACCAAGATTAATGTTGATGAAGTAGATGACGTTTTGAAAAACATAGGAATAGAACTCACACCTAAGGAGCGCTGGAGGCTGCTAAAAACACTGCCAATTACTTGTGAGCATTTCTGATACGGCTTTGCCTTTAGGAGAATGCGGTTTGAGTGTATATATCATTGGGGTAGGTGGGGACTCATAAAACATTTATTAAATACATATTTATGTTCAATGCATTTATTGAGTACTTTTTAGATTATGGGATTAAAGACAAAAATCCTTGCCCTCACAGAGGCTACCATAGGGGATGGAGCTTACTCAATTGGGATTTAGCTTGAGGACTTCATAAAGAAATTAAGATTTTTAACTTGGTAAATTTTAATTTAGTATATTAATTTTGAAGTGTCTGATAGCCCTAAAGCATAAAGAGAAAGTCACGTTAAAAAGTGTCATATCCAAGAGGTGAAAAGTTTCAGAACTGTAAAATGGATACATTTAAAACCTTCCTCTATTCCTTCCCCTTATTCTTTTTTTTTTTAATAAACATGTACTTTTTTTAATGTTTTTTATTTTTGAGAGGGGGAAGGGGCATAGAGAAAGGAAGACAGAGGATCTGAAGTGGGCTGCATGCTGACAGAGAGCCTGATGCAGGGCTCAAACTCACGAACTGCAAGATCATGATTTGAGCCCAAGTTGAACTCTTTAACCAACTGAGCCACCCAGGTGCCCCCTCTTTCCCTTTTTCTTAAAGCTAAAGAAGGGAAGGATGTGTGGATAAGAAATTAGATAAACCTGTAAGGCAAAGCATGTGACATTGTTGTCTTTATGAAATAGACTCTACTCTTGTTAGGAGTTGCTGTATCGCTTTCTCTAAGACCTCAATTATGACCTCTCTTATAGCTGATGGAAAGGTATATCACAATCGGTTGCTAGATGGTTTAAAGACTTTCCAAGGTAAGTGATAAGCTTAATGATAACAATAGCTTATTTCTCTTGATTATAATGCCAGGTACTATCCTAAACACTTTATGTCTAGTAACTCAGTTAATTATCACAAAAACCCTATGAGATACATACTTAAATTAACACCATTTTACAAATGGGAGGTATTAACCAACTAACTTGCCTAAAGTCACACAGTTTGAACTTAGGAAGATTTGAACCCATATTCCTAACCACTCTGTTATTAACCTTTTTATTCCCCTTTATGACTTATAATTCAAGTTCAGGTAACCACTAAGTTGGTAGAAATAGTTTACTGTTATAATGGCAGGTTTCAAATTCAGCAACCAGAATTGTGGCTATTGTTTCTGACATATTCATCCATTATGTCTTTTTTAATTATTTTTAATGTTTATTTTTGAGAGAGAGCATGAGCAGGAGAGGGGCCGAGAGAGGGAGACACAGAATCCATAGCAGGCTCCAGGCTCTGAGCTGTCAGCACAGAGCCCAATGTAGGGCTCGAACTCACGAACATTGAGATCTTGACCTGAGCCGAAGTGGGACATTTAAAAGACTGAGCCACCCAGGGGCCCCATATTCCTCCATTATGAATAATAATGAAAAATGAAGAAGAAATTTCATTTCTTTTCCTGGCTTTAGATGTCTATAACAAATTTCAACAGAGTATGTTATAGCATATGGAAGGGAGATGTTCTTTTCTTCACATTCCCCAACTCTGTCCCCCTCCGCCTTAGTTTTATGTTTTCCTTGAACATCTGCATTGCAACTTTGCTTTTCTCCCCCAACCCCATTGGGGTTTGGTGTATACTTAATATACTTAGAATTCTTTTTAATATTAAGCATAATTTCACATTTTTATTCTGCCTCTTTCTTTATTAAGGAGGGAAAATTTTAGAAAATAAACTAGAAACCGTTCTGAAAAACTTGAACTATAACCTTGAAAATAAAGAGATCAAAGATCTACGGAATCATTTGAACGTTGACAGTGAGTATTTCATTTACCACTTAGCACTTCCTTTCAGAAAAATCTTTGAAATCTTCTCATGAAATCTGAATATTCTTATTCAATTTCACTTAGAAAATTAAAAGCACTTGTAGAGTTATAATCCTCGAGGATGAGAAATAGGACTACTTATTATCATTCTCAATATTGTAAGAGGATCAATAGGGTGCTGGTAGATTTCAGTAGGAAATCTACTGGTAGGAAAAGCAAAACAGCACTTTAGAGAAAACAAGAGTTATTGAAATTAGATGTTAGAAAAGATCAGAGATTGACAAAACCAAATGAGGGGGTAAAAAAAAGGTTTGGGATTGTCCAACAAATAATGTACAAACCAGAGGTGATCATATTCTGATTTAACAAATATGGATGTCAGGTTGGGTTGAAATAGAGGCTCAGTAATATCTGACGTTAGACTAGTAATATGGCACCAGAGAGCTATCTTTTAAGTGTAAAGGATCAAATGGAAAAGACTTAAAGATCCAATTTAGCATGTTAAAACACCCTCTTTAGAATTCTGGAAGGTTGTTGGATATTAAAAACAAAATTAAAAATCAGCAAATTTCCTCTAGGTAAGGAATGACAACTTAGAAAATTTCATGGAAGGAAGGGATCCTATTCCCAATAGCAATACATATTTTGTTTATATACAATTTGTGATTTATATTTCAGATAATGGAAGGATTTCACTGAACTCCTTTATGAATACAGCAAATTTATTTTCCGGTGAGTGAAAAGTAATGAGGAAAACATGAAGAATCAAGATCCTTTGTTGTATGTACATACCATGTTTTAATTGTATATCCCGGTATTCCAAAACTATTCACAAGTCTTATTTCACCAATATACTGATGGAATGGTTGTTTTCAAGAATATAGAGGGACTTTTTATTACCTATGGTTTTAGAAGTATCATTTTTTAAGAAGTCTATTTTATTATAGACTGGTTGGCTTGTCTCCACTTTTTAGAGCATCAATAAAAGCATTCTTTTGACAAGTCTTAAAGGAAAACATGTTATCTTTTAAGCCCCTCTTGTGATGCAGTTAGATAAGCCTCCCTGTATCCTTGTTCTTCTGAAGTTATATCTCTAGCAAGTTAAGATGCTGCTGTGTAATGCATGAAAATGTTCACATATCATATTTCTCATCTTTTTAAAGGTGGTAAAATTAATGCAAGTGACACACAGCTTTACCTGGAAAATGTAGGTATTGAATTAACCAGTAGAGAAAGCCAGGATTTACTGAACATACTTCCATTGGATGGTAAGCATTTCAGGCATTGCTGTGGATTTCAGAGAATATTGGGCTTAAGAGTTTTTGTATAAAATTGTAGAAGTATGACTCTTTAAAATCCTATTAAAAATTGTAAAAGGGGTGACATCAGCAACATGATATGTATGTTCTTCCTCCTTTTTAATCACCCTTCTTAATCAGTGAATGGGAAAGTGCCTGGCTGACTCAGTTGGAAGAACAAAGGATTCTTGATCTCTGTTCCTGAGTTGGAGCCCCACACTGGGTGTAGAAATTACTTAAATAAATAAAACTTTTTTTAAAAAAATCAATAAATTGAGCATTCACACACAAACAAGAGTGCCTTTGGGAGTGTTTTGGGAACTACCACCTTACTCCAAGGGACCCAGAAGGAGCATCACCAACCAATGCAACTGGTAAGAGACAGCCTCCATACAGGGCCATACGCAGCCAGCAAAATTGCGAACACTGCTGTCAGGCAAAAATCAGATGAGAGCTGACCCAGCCAGGCATGAGAGAGAACCTGCAAAAGTCTAGCCTTCCTGGAGGGAGACTCCAACCCACCATCAGAGAAAAAGAAAGAAAAATATGAGATTGGTCACAGTGCAGGCAGTAAGAGAAACTTCCCTGGTGCCAGTCTTCCCGAAGGAAATAATGCGCAGGAGTGATGTATCAGCCCCAGTGACCTCTCCCATAGGGGAAAGGAAAGCAGTGAGTGAGTGCCTGGCTCCCGCCCAGAGCAGGACCAGCTGGGAAAAAACATTTCTCTCCATTGGCACCCAGCGGACTAAGGCGGAAACTCTGTGACTGGGAAAGAAGCAGAGATGAACTTCACCTGGCGGTGTAGAGATTGTGCTCAGCCGGAAGTCAACCCATGAGCCTCTAGGAATACCACACCTGGGGTCTCCCTGTAGTTCTCAGGCGCCCCCAGTGCCGAAGTGCTAAACCCACACCTCCCCTTATACTGCTGCTAGGTCCTTGTGCATTCGTGACAAGTGCGTCCTCTATAACGAGCTCCAGTAGTAAGCATGCTCAGAAAACCAGCCGCCATGAGTGGCAAGAGAGAAACCACAAACTTGAGCTAGAGCGCCACCTGGTGCAAAACAAAAGTTTTCAATAGTCAACCTGGTGCATTCTAAAGACCAGAAAAAAATCTATGAAAGCTTAAAATGTGGCCACAAAGTCATTCTGACAAGTATAAGGTAACATCTCTTTGTGGTCCTGAGTTTCATTTCCCTGAGATATCACCTTACACCTGTCAGAATGGCTACAGTCAAAAAGACAGGAAATAACTAGTAAGGGCAAGGATGTGGAAAAAAGGGACCTTCATTCACTGTTGGTAGGGATGTAAACTGGTGCAGCCATTGTGGGATACAGTACAGAGGTTCCTCAAAAAATTAAAATAGAAATACCATATGATCCAATAACTCCACAACTGGGTATTCACCCAAAGAAAACAAAAACACCAACTTGAAAAGATATGTGCACCTCTCTGTTTATTGCAGCATTATTTACAACTGCCAAGATATGGAAGCAGCCCAAGTGTCCAATTATAGATTAATGTATAAAGAAGTTTGGTGCATATGCACAATGGAATATTACTCAGCTATAAAAAAGGATGAGATCTTTCCATTTGCAACAACATGGATGGACCTAGAGGGTATTATGCTAAGTGAAATAAATTAGGCAGAGAAAGACAAATATCATATGATTTCATTCATATACGAATCTAAAAAAATAAAGGTTAAACAAACAAAAAGCAGAATCAGACCTATAAACACAGGGACAAACTGATGGTTGTGGCGGGGGTGGAGAGAGTGGAAGTTGGTCAAAAAGGAAGTAGGAGATACAGGTGTCAAGTTATAGAATGAATACATCATGGGAATAAAAGGTACAACATAGGGAATATAGTCAATGGTATTGTCAGTGTTGCATAGTGACAGAAGATAGCTACACTTGTAGTGAATATAGCATAACATAAAGAGTTGCTGAATCACTATGTTGTATACCTAAAACTAACTTAGCATGTATCAACTATACTCAAATTTTAAAAAATATACTGAAAAAATATTAAAATTAAATTTGGCCACAAAGTGAACAAAAAGAATGGAGGAAGCATACCTTCACAAAGACAAAGGAAAAACTCATAATAACAACACTGTAGAATATAACACCCCATATGAAGACAACAGGCAAAGAGCTAAGGAGGTGTCTGCTCCTTCTAATGCAAAAGCAGCAAGACATGACTACAGGGAATATTTAAAATTAAGGAAATACAGCATCATAAAAGGAAAAGTATTACTCTCCAGCAACTGAGCTCAAAGACATCCATATTGAGATCTAATGAATAAAGAATTCAAGATAACTGTTTTGAAGAAACTCAATGAGCCACAAGAAAACTCAGAAACAAAATTCAGTGAAATCAGGAATAAAATATAAGAACAAAAGGAGTTCTTTAACAAAGAAATTGAAATTATAAAAAATAACCAAGCAGTAATTCTGAAGCTGAAGAGTTTAGTGAATGAGATGAAGAATACAATAGAGAGCATCAGTAGCAGGGCATACAAAATGGAAGAAAGAATAAATTACTTAGAGGATAGAAATTTTGAAATAACATAGAAGAAAAGCAACAAATATTTTTTCTTTTTTTCCTCTTTTTAAATTTAAATTCTAAATAGTTAACATAGAGTGCAATATTGGATTCAGAAGTAGAATTTAGTCATTCATCACTTACATATAATACCAAGTGCTCATCATAACGAGTGCCCCCCTTAATACCCATCCTCCATCTAGTCCATCCCCTACCTCCCTCCCTGCATCAACCCTCAGTTTGTTCTCTATCTTTAAATGTTTCTTATGATTTGTTTCCCTCTCTCTTTTTCTCCCACTCCCATATGTTCATCTGTTTTGTTTCTTAAATTCCACATATGAGTAAAAATCATATGGTATTTATCTTTCTCTGACTGACTTATTTAGCTTAGCATGATACACTCTAGCTCCATCCATGTCATTCCTATGACAAGATTTCATTCTTTTGACAGCTGAATAATACTCCATTGTATACATACCATATCTTCTTTTTCCATTCATCAATTGAGGGACATTTGGGCTGTTTCCATAGTTTTGTTGTTGTTGATAATACTGCTATAAACATCAGGGTGCATGTATCCCTTCAAATCTGTGTTTTTTTAATGTTTGTTTATTTTTGAGAGAGAAAAGGGGAGGGACAGAGAGAGGGAAACAGAGGATCTGAAGCAGGCTCTGTGCTGACAGGAGAGTCTGATGCAGGCTCAAACTCATGAACCGTGAGATGATGACCTGGGCCAAAGTAGGATTCTTAACCAACTGAACCACCCAGATGCTCCTTGAAACTGTATTTTTGTATCCTTTGGGTAAATATCTAGTAGTGCAATTGCTAGTTCATAGAATAGTTCTATTTTTAACTTTTTGAGGAACCTCCATAGTGTTCTCCAGAGTAGCTGCACCAGTTTGCATTCCCATCAAGAGTGCAAGAGGGAAAAACAAAGATTTTAAAAGAGCAAAGCAAGTCTATGCAAGCTACAAAATTCCATCAAAAGACAAGTATTAGAATAATCAGTTCTCAGAAGGAAAAAAGGGAAAAGGAGGCAGAGAACAGAGAAATAATACCTGAGAGCCCCCCAAACCTGGGGAAATATTTGGACTTCCAAGTGTACCAAGCTAATAATAGTTCACACTATTACCTCAATGCAAAAGACCTTATCTAAGACACATTATACTGAAGCTGTCAAAAATCAATAGTATTAACTAGCTTTTTTTTGTGATAATCACTTCATAATCTATACAAATATCAAATTATTATGTTGTAAACCTGAAACTAATATAATGTTATGTCAATTTTATCTCAATGTGAAAAATCAATGAAAAAAATCCTGAAAAAAGCAGGAAAAAACAAATGAACCCAGAAAGGAACCCCCACTATATGCTGTCAACAGATTTCTCAGCAGAAACTCCACATAGTTTAATCACAGATTCAAAGTGCTGAAAGGGAAAACTTGCCAGCCAAGAATACTTTATTCAGTAATGTTATCCTTTACATATGAAGGAGGAGTAAAGGCTTTCCCACACAAACAAAAGCTGAAGGAGTTCAGCACTAATAGACCTGTCTGGCCAAGAAATGCTGAATGGAGTTATTTAAGCTGAAGTGAAAAGACACTATCCAGTGACCTGAAAACATAAAAATGTATGTAACATACTGGCAAAGGTGAAAAATACACAGTTAGACTTTTTTAAAAAACTCTAATTCTATAATAGAATGATGTGTTAATCACTCAACTATAGCATAAAGGTTAAAAGAAGAATAGTAAAAATAACTATAGCTACTATAAATTATTAACAAATACACATATTAAAAATAGGTCAATTGTAGCTTCAGTGATGTGAAACTGAGAAGTATAAGGATAGAGCCTTTGTAGGTGATTGAAATAAGTTGCTATAAACCTGGGGCGCCTGGGTGGCTTAGTCAGTGCTGACTGCCAGCTCAGAGCCTGGAGCCAATTTCAGAGTCTGTATCTCCCTCTCTCTCTCTGACCCTCCCCTGCTCACGCTGTCTCTCTCTCTCTCCTAGAAATTAAAAAAAAAAAGAAATTAAAAAAAAAGAAAGAAGTTGCTATAAACCTAAAGTGAAATGTTTTATCTATAGGATATTTTATGTAAACCCTATGGTATCATAACAAAGCAAAAACCTGGATTAAATTTATGAAGGATAAAAAGAGGGGAACCAGAGGATACCACTACAAAACCTCACCAATTCACAAAGGTAGGCAGAAAAAGAAGGGAAAAGAAACAATGGAACTACAAACCAGCCAGAAAGCAAGGAATAAGATGGCATTAGTAAGTTCTTACATACCAATAACTACTCTAAAAGTGAACCGATTGAATTCACCAGTCAAAAGTGATTGGATAAAAGAATACAGGTATATTGTTTCAAAGGGGCATATGCACCCCAATGTGTATAGCAGCACTATCAACAA